AGTAACGTAACACAATTCTTGGTTAAAGTTATAGAAGAGAAACTTTGGACATATGAGTTTACTCATTTAATCCTTTATGTTATTCTTTTTTTTAACTTTAAATTTAATTTCTTTGTGATTACCATCATTCATACAAATAATATCAATACTCAATAATCATGTAATATTAATATTATTTTCTCTAAATTAACATCCACAATGGTTATCCAAGATATCAATTTAAGAAAACATAAAGCACCTATGAACTTATTAATTTAATAACGATAAGAAGAGAAATATTGGTTTGGTCTACCTAATCATTTGTCTCATTTTATCTTAGAAATCCATTAACTAATTGAGATACAGTCGACTAATGATACAATTAATTATAGTTATGTTATGAGTGATCAATTCACAATATATAATTATGTGCAATAAGATAAATACTAATCACAGACGGAAATCAAAGTTAGATTCAAACATCAAAATCTCATAAATTCATGAATAAGAATTCTTGTAGCTCCAGCTATGGACTTAATTACTCATGCTAAAGAAAAGAACTAAAACAATCATAAATAAAACATAGTCAAAAGGAAATAGTTCTCGGTCTTCAAGTACGATTGCTCAAAGCTCTAAGTTCCGTCAAGAAAATGATGAAAGAGATGACTCAGAGGCACAGAAAGTATTAGGTAGAAACAAAGTCAAAACAACATGTAAAACATGATCAAAACAGTGTCTCCAATCACTGCCCCAAGGTTACTATTAATAGGGTTTTGAAAACTCTAAAATCTCTTCATAATTGGGCTTGCTGCGGATGAACACAGTCGTGCAAGGTCAAAAACACGACCATACATGTGCTTGAAGCACTCTCATGCTTGCTGCTAGGGTATAGGTGTGATGACTACTGTAAAGTTCTGTTTTTTAACCAATTTAGGCCCAATAACACCTAAAAACTCAACTATGATTTTTTTATGCTAAATGCACAATTAATATATAAATCAGTATAAAACTCAATTAAAATAATGACCACACATAAATATTTAGGCTATAAAAGTATGTCAAAATACAGACTTATTAATTGGATCTACATACATCTTGCTCTCTTGTTCAAGGTTTTGTTCATTATGTTTGCAACATCATTTTGCTTAGGTGTTGATGAAAATCAATGAAGGTTCGTTGAAGAAAAAGATTCGAAGGCATTAGAAAGGCTTTAAGGATCAATGACAAGGATAAAGACAAAGAAGATAAAGGAAAATCTAGAGAAGAAGGTTGTTGTCCTATTTGAAAGTAAACCCAATTTAGAGTTAAATGAACCTAAGATGGTCAATTATATATACTTAAAGAACTTAAACTCTAATGGGTCCCATTAGAATTTTATTATTATGTTTAATTTAGTTATTTTAGTATTAGTCATGACTTGCTTTGAGCTTTTATTTAAGATAAAATCTGTTATTTTATTTAGTTTATTTAGATTTGGGCCTGTTGGCACAGAAAGCGCATTACTGTTGTATTTCTGTTGGTTTATAAGCGTTAGAGATATATATACTTTTGTAGACACATTTTTAATTAGTTTTGAATGTAATTTGAGATTAAACACTCTTATGAGAGCGTCTAACTCTAAGTTCTTGAGGGAGCCAATTTTTCTTGATCTTATTAAGAGGCCAAAATTCTTATGGCAATCGTTCTTTTGACTTATTAATCTTGCAGTTGTGACGCCATCTTTCATCTCTATTTTATTTTTGCTTTATTATTTTCTTGTAATTTCAATTTTTGTTCTTACCCTAATAATTCTATTCTTTTGTTGTATGGAAATCAATTAAAGATCATTTAATTTGGCAACACGAATCGTGTTTGTCATCAAGTGTTTCTGATATTGTTTTGATCATTTTGATCTCAATTTTTGAATAGAAATCCTTAAACTCTTGGTTATTATATTCTCCATCATTATCATATTTTTAGACTTTTAACCTTTAAACTTATTTGATTTCAACTTCTTTTTTCCACCTTTTAAACACAGAAAATACATCATAAAATGAATTCATACCTTTCTTGTAAAGTCATCAATGAAGGTGACACAATAGCATAAGTCTCTAAGGGATTTTATTGGAGTTGACTCCTAAGCATCTATATGCACCAATTCCTACTTTTCAATTTTAGATTTTTTCTTGACTTTGCGAAGTTGACCTTCTTCTCTTTTCCAAAGATACAATGTTCATAAACACCAATATCAACATGTTTCAGATTTGATAGTTTATGCTTTGACACCATGAAGTTTATTCCTTTATTACTCATGTGTCTAAATCTTTGATGCTTCAAAGAGGAACTATTGGCAGGTTCAATAACTACTACCATATCCTCTCATGTAACCATATAGAGAGACTCTTGCTTTTTTCCCACTAGCTACAACTAGATTACCTTATGTTACTTTTCATGCACCATCTCCAAAAGCGTGTAATGACCCTCATTATCCAATTTCTCTATAGATATTAAATTTCTCTTTAAGGCAAGGATATGACTGATTTTGTGTAATATCCATGAGGTCCCGCATAGAGGTTCTAATGTCAATGCCACCTTTCAATAATTCAAGAGATTTGTCATTTGTAAGGTAAACCTTTCCAAACTTTCAAAGAAACATAGATAATAATTTTATGGAAGGAGGAGTGTAGAATGATGCACCTGAGTCCATAACCCATAAGTTAATAAGACTATCTAAACTAGAAATTAGTGCATTTGCAAGTTCATCAATTGTTGAATATGCAAATTCATAATTATCATGCTTCTTATTTTTATCGTTCTTCCTTTTCTTTCAAACTTTGCATTGATCGATAAAGTGACTTTTTTTGTCACAAATCTAATAGATAATATCATTCTAATCTTTATCTACCTTTTTTCTAGACTTTAATTTGTGTCGCCTTAATTTTGACATTTTTGGCTATTTCTTCCTTTGCTTTTAGTATTTAATTTTGAATTGGAAGAAAGACTAAAAAGCTCCCCTAAATCTCTCCTACAAACATCTTCATTTAATATCAATTCACGAATGTCATAAAGTTTTAACTTTTATCCTTGCAAAACTATTGACTATGATAACAATTACAATACAATATTTGGAAGGGATGATAGTAGAATTAAACACTATCATTAAACACTATATGCACTAACACCAACTAGGCAAGAATTGTATTAAATTCATTAATGTGATAAGTTACAGAATTATCTTCTACCATCTTGCGGTTGAATAGTCGACGCATTAAATATACTTTGGGTGTAGATGACTTCTCATACATATTTGATAATGCCTTCATAAAATCTATAATAGTCTTCTTGTTCATAATGTTAAATGCAACATTCTTAGCCAGCATCAATCTCATCACACTAAGAGTATGTCGATCCAACAATTCTCATTTAATGTAATATAATATTTGTTATTAATAATCATAATATTTACACTTTCATTGTTTTTGTTGATTATTTTGACAACTAATCCATTGTCATTATTAGTTATCGTCACTGCCAACTACCATATTCATTGGTGTCCTCTCCACTAATCACTATAATCATTGTTGTCATTATCACTATTACTATTCACCATCAATAAAATAATATTATTGACATGTCTATATCACCCTTACATTGTCATTGTTATAACATTATCACCATTAATTATTATTTTCGTTATTGTTATTATTACCATAATTATTATTAATAGTTATCATCTTTATCATTTTTCTTTGGTCGCTCTTATTATCTATCGTTAACATTGTAGTTGTTATTATTATTTGTTGTTAATGTCACTACCACTATTATCATTACTATCACTTTGATCATCCATCATCATCACTATTATCTTACTACCATCCACTATCATTATTGTTATCCTATTACTACCACTAATAACTTAACTTTGATATTACTATCACTTTTACCACCACATTTAATTGTGATTATTATTATTAATAGTATCATTATAGTCATTACTTTTATTGTTATCCTTGTTCATACTAATTATTTATCATTGTCATTATTGTTATTTCGTCTAATAATTTTTATTTTAACAAATAAATTTAAATGAGTATTTTGTTTATTTTAAATTTAAAGCATAAAATTTATAAACTATAAATAAATTAAAATCAAATTCATAAAATTGAAAATTAATTTTAATTTAAAAATTTTTAAAACTTAGAATTAAAAATTATACTGAATCTCTTATACTCAGATTAGTAAAAAAAAAAGTTTATATAAATTAATTGATAGGTTAGAAATAAACTTATACCAAATCATAAACTAAATTTTAAATTATAAATTAATATAGATTTTTTAGGGTTTAATGAGATGATTTTAAAAATAATCTATTTAAATTTGAAATTAAAACTTTAAATAAGATATTATTTTTATTTATTTAAATAAGTTGAACAAAAGTAGATTTATAGATCAAATTAAAATGTGTTTTAATTTATATTTTTAATATTCTTTTGATGATTAATTTATTATTATATTATAAATGATTATGCAAAATAAATTGAATATCTAGATATGATCTATAAAATTGTAGTTTTAAAATAACCTATTCAGTTTGAATTATCTAAAATAACTAACTTGTATAATAAATTTATAAAAAATTATAGAATTATTTGTTATAGTTGATTATATATTTAAATCTATTAATTAACCACTTTTTAATATGTATGAAATAATATATAAAAACATTTTATTTATATTAAATTTTAATTAAAAATAATATAACAGTTTAATATATTAATAATATTAAATATTATATTATTTTAATAAAAAGTTATTATTTATCTTTAGATATACATTAAAAAATTTAATTAATTAATTATTAGAGATAAAATAAAAACAAATTTAACTTAAAAACCAATCTATTATTCACACAGATAGTAATATTTAAATCTTGAATTCATCAATCAAATTACAATAATCTTAAAAAATAATCACATCTAATCTCCAAATATCCTGATTGAGTAGTCACTAAGTAGCCATTAAGCAATTATAACATGGCTCTCATGCTTACCATAGTTACCATGAGTCCCTTACCTTCGTTCTCTTCTCATCTCTCCCACCCTTTGGTTGTTCCATAAAAGCACAACCAAACAACACCCTCTCCTTCTTACACAGCTAACGACACCAACCCAAACATCCAAAGGCCTTCATCGATTCACCAATCATCATGGCAAAGAAGAGAAAGTCCATCGCCACAAGCCTCGACGAGGTCGATCGAACCCTATACGCATCGTTTTGCACCGCTGCTAATTCTCTCTCCCAGCTCTACACCCACGCCATGAACCACCAGAAGCTCTCCTTCCATGCTGGGGAACGCCACTCCCTCGTAATAAAGCTTCCTCCTTTTCCAGATTCTCCTTTTGGGTTTTCGATTTTTCTTCAGAAAAGGGTTTTTTTTTTTTTAATAGAAAGTTAGAATTGGAATTTTAGATTTGTTTTTTTATTTGTTTGTTGTGGCTTTAGATGGGTGTCTCTCGTTATGATGTGTTGGTTAAATATCCTGTTAATCGGACAAAAGTAGGTATTTTATTCTGTTTTCTTTTTTAATTTTATTAAAAAATTAACTTTTTTTTATTAAAGAATGTTTTTTTATTTGTGGAAGTGCATCGATGCTCAATTTTCTGTTAAGATAGATTTGGATGGAAAATATGGGCTTTTTTTTTTTTTTTGGTGTGTGTGCGGGATCTTTTTCGTAATTGTGAGGGATTTGAAAATGTGGGAGTTTCTGTTCTGTGATGCTTGAATCAACGTTGTGTGCTGATTACTTGAACAAGTAGTAGCTGATTCCGGGATGCTGGCATTTGTGGAATTTTGCTTTGTTACTCGTTTCTAGTTGTTTGGAGCTGATTTTGTTTCATTTTCTTTGGATTTTGTGTTAAACTGCTACTTTTTTATAATTGTTGGGTTAGTTTTCACTCTCTTATTGACCTCATTTTCAGTTCATGGATTTTCACTGTTCTGTCTCATCTTTTATGTAGCTGCAAGTGGTTTTGATATATTTTTTTCCTTTCCCCTTTTTCTTGTTGTGAATAAAACCTTTGGCATTTGCATCTAATATGGGCTTTGCTCTTTTGTTTGGGTTTTTTCGATCATGTGTTGATATTTTGTTGTGGGATGTTGTTCTTGTGTCAGGAAAAACTTTATCAATGGATTTGGAGACAACAAGAAGGAGGATCAAGAGTTGCAACAGTTGATGTACTTAGCTACATTCAGGTTGGTTTGACATTTCTCTCTTTTGCATATATTGTAGTATCACGGATGCTTGCTTCTGCTGATTCGGATATGTTGCAAACAAACACACAACACACAATTACTTTGAAAGAGAGAGAGAGATGGACTATAGGCTATAGCACCACCACCACCAACAACAACCAAGCCTTATCTCATTAGGTGAGGTTGGCTACATAGATCACACAACGCCATTGTGTTCGGTAGAAAACCAAAATTTTAAAAATCTAGTTAATGAAATGGTCTCTATTTATAACCTTGTCTAAGGTTCTTATGGGTCTCTCTCATAGTTGTTACTAGTGCGCTATTGCATTGGCACAGTGTGGCTGTCAGCTGCCACTGCTGTCACATCGCGGTGCATTTGTCATGTCTCAGCGATTGCGGGGTTTGCGGCCAGAACAGGGAGAAATTTGCGGGTGTGATTGTGCAAATTTGGGAAAGCAAGAAACCCTATTCTGATTTTTCTAAAACGGAGCGTTTTAATTATTTTTAAGGGTAGAAAGGTCATTTACCTTTTATAAAACATATATATATCGATTTCATTTTCTCCACACCTCTCTGCATGAAAAGTCAGGGACTCAACATGGCGGTTTCTCCCCTCTTCACCGGCTCACCCATTCCATTTCACCAGATAAATCAGCTTTTCTGTGTTTCTGTTCACGGGAAAATCAGCTTTTCCAACGTCTGCTCTATTTTTCTGTTTACTCATCACTTTTGCTTCAAGCTCTGTTTTGTTTGCTGAAGGAGATAAAGCTCTGTTTTTCTGTTCATTAAACACTCCTATATATATATATATATATATATATATATATATATATATATATATATGCATATTAGAAATTTTTAAATAGCGGTCATCCCACTATACGCTATTCTACTATAGTGTTTTAGGGGTCAGCTGCTATTTGTCGCTATCTTAGATGGTCTCCCTTGATTCCTCTTTACCGGACTAAGAGTCATCCAATCTACTGTCTTTGTTGGTGCCTCCATAGGTCTTCTTTGCATATAACTGAACCACCTTAGACTATAGGCTGTAGCAATGGATGTAAATTAGTGACAAGGAAGCGAATTATTGGAAATGTATTATATATGAATTATGAAAGGGAAGCAGGTTTGTGAAGGTGTCAATTATATTTCTTAATATCACAATTTTCTTAGAATTGTGGTTGCTTTGCAAATGCAGAAAGAATTTGGACAATTGCAGGTCAAAATGGATGAGGCAACTGCAATTGTGGTTGTGGACTGCAATTTTAAACCATTAACCATGTGGTGGACTATTAATCTGATGGTCCTGATCTTGGGCTGTATTTGTTTGTCCTTGAGGTTGTCAATTTTTGTGCTGCCTTACAAAAGGCTTTATAAATTATGTTTATAGTTCACCTATGAGTAGGAGTGAGTTATTTTACTGAACTGGGGAAGAAACTGGTGGGTGTACTTGCTTAATTAATCAGGCATGTTTATTTTCCACTGCCAGGGTCAGTGTGAGTAAACTTTCTTCCGCCACTGGCTTTGGTTTAACAAGCCTTTTATTTTTCTCATATCTTTTTATTCGTTTTGGTGTTGTACTTATTTTGCTCTCCCTGGTCTTTTTGACATGTCCAATGGAAAATTTTACCTGGTAATGTTATTCTTTATAATATATTGTTATTGATTCAATCATTAAATTTTATCTAATATGAGATAGTCAGGTTGATGCCTTATTTGAATTTAAAATCTTGCATATTATGATTCATTATCTGATTCTTTCAGTAAAAAAAACTTTCAACTCAAAGTTTTGGTCAGTTGATTTTGTAAAAATCTAAGTGTAAAATTCTAAGATTCCTCTGATGGATAAAAGCCATTCCATTCTCCCCGTTTCATTTTCCATATTATATAGTAGGTGAAATGGATTAGCTTAAATGTAACATTCTAAATTTTGGCTTACACGATTGCATGGATTCTTTAATCCACCTGTGGGCTTTAGAAGGTACAAATTGCCTCAGGACTGGTCATTGACAAAGAGTACAGGGTAGAAAAGATAGTAAAGTTTCTTCTTTTTTTAAGCCTTGTTCAACATTTGGGGTGCAGGATTGTGATTGACAATATCCCATAAAATAAAAGTTAGATTTTGTAACTTTTGGGTTCATGCTGCAATTTAGATCATTTGAAGTTTTAAAAAGGGCAACCCAATTTAGGTATCTTCCACCTAGTTGGGTCTAAAGAGGGTAGGTGTACACATCCTGCAAGCTGAGGGCTAAATGTGCTATTTGGGAAGCTTAGTTCTTCAAAATAATGGTCTCTGTTGTTTTTGGTAACAAGATATATGTATTGAAGTTCATTCATGATCTTGCAGAACGAGCTGGATTACTGTGGAGAGGAGCCATCCATGTCACCTAGAGCACCACCGCAACACCAGCAACCCCTACCAGCAATGCATCTCAGTAGTTCAGGCTTTCCCGTTACTACAGGATCTTCTGGCCAAACAATTGCTGGGCAAGGACTCCGCTCTGAGAACTGTGAAAATCAACCAAAGAATTCTGTGTTTTCAAATGCTTTGTCAAGTCCAGTGCGTCGTAGCCTTCAACATTATCAAATTGGTGATGGAGGGTACTACACCAATGGTCTGTCAATGGTCAATGGAAACCGGAACACAGAACCTGGCTTACTTCACCAGCAAGGCAGAGATTCAACTGCAGTGAGCTCAAACGATTCTGCCATGGATATGCATGCAGACTAGTCCTTTGTATTGGTTTATTAATTGGGATTTCTTAACTCACCAGCCTTCTGAAGAAGCTACAAAAGGAGCCAACAACCTTCGGAATTTCGTGTCTCAGGTTTGCTTGTTGGATGCTGCAAGAAAAGAGAGGAGGGGTGGAGCCAATTCTGTTAAGATTTTACTATGCTTTGTCAACCGAGTGATTGGTTTGGGGTCTCAACAAGTGTTTTTGTAAAGTCTTTTTATTGATTAGCTTTAAAGCATTTTAATTTTGTACCTTAAATTGTTTTACCCCCATCATTAAAATGATTGCCTTTTCAAGGTAGGGGATTCTATCTGAAGTTCTATATGTAAATCTGCTCTGCAGATTTTCTCTATATGGCAATTTATAGCATCGTCTTTGTTGATGCCTACTTTTCTTCCCTTTACTCTCTATTTTCAAAGATCTTTGCGGGGTTACTTAGAGAAAAAAGTTTATAGTATACAAAGAAAAAACAATGAAGACAGAAACTAGGGTGTGTTTTATATTTGTTTATATAGTTAATTTCATACTTTGCACGATAATGTGGTAAAGAAAATGTTTATATAAGATTAAGATTGTGTCTAAATATTTTAAATTTAGATTTTAGCCTTGTGAGAAATGAGTCTCTAGTCTCTTATAATTAGTTTAAAAAAATAAATGACATGCTATAAAATATGTAAACCGTTTAGAATTAAAAGTTTACAACTGAGGGTTATTTAGAGGGTGAAAGGGACTATTTGATAAAAGTGTCAATTGAGTTGGTTTTGCAATCTATTGAGTTAGTTAACACAGTGAATAACAAAATATACAAGTACATGGGAAAAAGTTTTGAATAAAACGATGAATATCTTGTAAAATAAAACAGTTCAAAAATACGTTTACACAAAATAACTCTAACCCACTATATCTCTTCATACAGAGCCATGATCTTTGTTTAAAGCTTAAAGTTGTATGCATGAGATAATTGGTGACCAAGAAACAATAAATTTAGAGATTTTGTGCAAATATGTTTTATTATATCGATAAAAAGATGGGAGATGTAGACAAATAAAACCTTTTCTAAGGAATTATTTTTTTATATGTCGAATTATTTTTCGTATATCGTTTTAAATAATATGATTACAAGGAGTTATTCATATAAAAATTATGCTTTTATGATATTTATAAGATATGAAAATATTTTTAACGTGACTGATAGAAATCTCATGGATGTTAATTTTCGGCCTATCAGTTGCTAGTTATTGTAATTTTCTGACTTAATTATCATCGCTTAGTTAGCATTTTTTTTTTTTTTTTGTTTAGCTTCCATGTGATCTCTTGTGTTTTTATTATGTTTCTTTAAAAATAAATTAAGTGAAATTTGTCTTCTTCTTTTTTTTCTCTTTCAATAATAGTATTAAAAGTCTATTTCTGTGGGATGTTGCCTTTTATGTGTGTTTTGTGATTGTAGGATTGTTTGATATTGCATTTTAGAAGGAAAAAATAAAAATCGTGACGTTGTGTGAGTGTTATTTAGGAAATGTTTTAGCTAAGAGAGAATCAATATTTAAATATGTCTATTGTAACTTACCTTTCCTTCCTAGAGATCTACTGATATGGTTAAGATTACACATTTTGTTTGTTGAATAATTTAAATAAATAAATTAATATCTCTCTTGTTTTAGGAGGTTATCTTCTGTTAAAGATGTGCATGAATTGGATTTAAAAATATTAATTATATAAATTGAATTTTAAATCAATTCATTTTAATTTTTTTAAACTATTTTAAATTTAGTTTTAAAATTTAGACTTGTTTAAAAGCAATTTTAAATTTAGTAAAAATATGTTATAAATATTTTTTATATTATTAGTAAATTATTATATTAAAAAATATTTAAATTTTATAATAACTAATATAAAATTATATTTGTATATATTTTAATCTATTAATAATATAATTTTTTTATTTTTATATTGTATTAAACTAATAAACATTTGCATATATTTTACTTTTATCATATATCCACTACATAAACTAATTATACAAATTAAATTCTAAATTATTTTATTTTATTTTTTAATTAGTTTTAATATTATTTTTTTAAAACTAGTTTTAAATTTAGTTTTACATTAAATTAATTTTAAATCCAATTTTAAATTAAATTTTTAAGGCAAAATTGATTTTAATACATTTGTGAATTGAATTTTTAAGATAAATTTAATTTGTTGTACACATCGTGTATTAAATTAATGCGTTTTAAGAAAATTTTAGTAATATTTACTAATTATATTATATTTTGTAGAAGATTATAAAATATTTATTATCATTTTTAACTTATTTTTAATAAACGGAGTTTATGATGAAAGTTTAAATTAAAACCTATAAAAATAAAAATTAATAATATAAATAATAATGAAATTATTATGTTATAATATTTTAAAAATTAAAAAATAAATATAAATATAAAAATAACAATAGTAATTAACTTAAAATTATTTGTTATATTACAATATCTTTAATATAATAATATTTTTAAAATATTATTTTAAATATTTAATTTTAATTATAAAAATTAAGATTAATAAAAAGTATTAGTCATAAAATGTAGACAAAATAAAATTTTATGAACTGATATAGTACAAAGATTTAATAAGACATAAGGTAGTATTTCCATACATATAAATTTGGATAAATAAAAAATATATATAGTTTTAAATAGTGGATTTAGAACACTAAAACAGTTACACATATATATTGCTCATAAAAAATTAGTTTAATATGGATCTAGATTTTTAAAATCAATTTAACATTGGTTATGGATTAGACTTGTAAAACTAGATTTTTTTGTCCAGCCTTATCTTGTGTAAGATATGAAAAATGTATCATTAGAAAAATATAGTTATTGCTAGTGGATGCACAATAGCACATGCCAACGATACAAAATGTGTGATAATAAAATATGAGCATTGGTTGATAATAATACAATATGTGATGATAACACACAAACATTAGTTGGCTTTTATATAAGATGTGGTGATAATACACAAACATTATTTTACATTAATGTAATGTGTGTAGTATACTCTTCACAGCAGAGTGTTATGGTTCTGTCTAACTATGATTGTCAACATACATAATGAAAGCAAAAGATGTGTCAATTTTAATTAAGGTCAAGATTGTTGGAATTTGTCAAAATAAAACATCATGGAACAAGTACCATATTTCCAAATGTATATTAAGGCCTAGTTTGTAACACTTTCGTTTTTATTTTCCTTATTTTTGAAAAAATAAGAATTTTGGTGCAGGTTTTCTCGCTCAAGCGAGACAGAGTCGTGCTAAACCAAACGTTCTAGAATATTCCTGCTCAAGCGAGGTGAGTCTCGCTTAAAAAAGAGAGGATAATATCGCCTCAACTTTCCTATCATGCAGGCGTGCAATGGCTCGCACAAGTGAGAAGGGGTCTTGCCCAAGCAGCCTCACAGGAAAAGTTGAAAGCTCTTTGGACCTATTTTTGCTTGGGCGAGAATACCTCTTGCCCCTAGGCGAGAATACCTCTTGCCCCTAGGCGAGAATATCAGAAAAAGCTAGAAAATTATGATCTAGTTTTCTCGCTCAAGTGAGAGTCCGCTCACTCAAGCGAGAACTCGCAAGTTTGAAGGGTATTTAAGAGAGTTTGCATTGAGAAATTTTATTTTTCACCAAAACCATCTTTCCCTCTCTGTCCTCTTTGTTCTCTCATTCTCCCTTCTTAAAGAAAGTCTCCTTTAATCCTAAATCTCTCTTGGATCTAAGCTCGAACGTCCATTTCACTCAAATCTAAGTTTCTAGTTCTTAACTCTTAAATCTCGCTCCAATTTCTCTGTTTTCTCTTTTTATAATAGTACTCTACTATGTGATATTAGGAAGAACTCTAGTGTTTGGGTAGTGTCTCTGGTCAAAATGTGGAGTTTCTCTTTAGGGCTCACGAAGAACTTAGTTTCAAAGACTTATTTCCAAGTAATGGGAGTTATTCCCGAACCCTAGATTCTATCTAAATATGTATATTGATCTTAAAAGAACCAAATTACCTTATTCTAAATAGCAAATCCATAGAGTTATCTTGAAACTATATGGTGAAAATGCAGTTTTGATGTAAAAAGGGTTTTTGATTTGTCTAAAATCATTTAAGACAAAGTTTATCGTAAAAGTCACGAATAAGAATGAGTTTAAGAATATATATATATATATATATATATATATGATAGTCCCCTGGTGAATATTATGACCAAGGAATCTAATGTTGGTTTGGAAAAGATTGATTTTTGATTTAGAAACAACTAGACCATTCTGTTTGACAGCATTTATAAAGACATTTATATGTTTGAAACACTGGTCAATAGAATGAGAAAAAATTAATACATCATCAATGTAGTCAATGACAAATTTGAAATAAGGATTGAAGATATCATTCATGATCTTCTAGAATTCAGAAGGAGTATTTTTAAGACCAAAGAGCATTACGTTCCATTCGTATTGCTTAAAGGGGACAGTGAAGACAGTTTTGTACCTATCTTCTTCACAGATTTGGATTTACCAAAATCTGAATTTCATATCAAATTTAGATAAAATCTTAGTAGAATTGAGTCTGTTAAGATGACCTTTTTTTTGTTAGAAATAGGATATCTAATCTATTAAAGAGCTTGGTTGAGAGACTTGTAGTTAATCAAATTATCATTTAGGTAAGCAAATAACATTTAAATTCTCTAGCAAACATTTTACTAGAAATATTAATTTCATTCAAAACAAAATTAATCAAATTAATTTTCTGAAAGAAGAAGTTTCTGTTGCTAATATTGATAATCAATTAAAGAACTCATCACTTCAAAAAATGATTCAATCTCTTTTAGAATCTATTTAATTTTCCATTTGTTCTGACCTTCCTAATGCTTTCTAGAATAGAAAAAAAGCATATTGTTAGTCTTCCCTATAAAACAGACTTTAAAGAAAGTCAGATTCCTACCAAGGCGAGGCCTATTCAAATGAATGAGAAATTCCTCCATATTGTCAAAAGAGATCAAAGATCTCTTAGACAAAAAACTTATCAGGAAAAGTAAAAGTCCATGGTCCTATTCCGTGTTCTATGTTAATAAACAAGCAGAATTAAAAAGAGGTACTCCTAGATTAGTTATCAACTACAAGCCTCTTAACCAAGCTCTTCAATGGATTATATATCCTATTCCTAGCAAAAAAAGATCTTCTTAACAGATTCAATTCTGCTAAGATTTTCTCTAAATTTGATATGAAATCTGTATTTTGGCAAATCTAAATCTTTGAAGAAGATAGGTACAAGACTGCTTTCACTGTTCCCTTTAGGCAATACGAATGGAACGTAATGCCCTTTGGTCTTAAAAATGCTCCTTCTAAATTCC